TCAAGTGGAGCAGATAAAGTAACATCGCAAAAGTTGATTCTAGCTTTCCTTCCGACAGCTCCTCTTGTGATTAGGTGCTGCTGCTTGTGTTGAGGTATGCAGGGAATGGCCATGCTGACAGCTGAAGAGATGTGTTTGTGTATGTGTGTGTGTGTGTGTGTGTGTGTATGTATGCAAGGGACACTGAACATACGAGTGTGTATTTATATGTGTGAAAGAGACAACAAGGTACAGAAAGAAGATTATGTGCAAGTGTAAAATCTGCTGTGACCTTGCACACCTTTGAAATACCTACACCCACACACAAGATATACACCTTCAATACAATAACTCAACATGCCAGGAGACCAGCTGACAATGGGGGGTGGGTGGGGGGGGGCGTCCTCTCTCAGGCTCCCACACACACGTTCAACAGACTTACACGGGTACAAAGATAGCACATGCAATAGCTGACGCGTGTAGACATGACAAACATTCAAGGCACTCTGGAAACACATGCGCAGGGAACGTTATAAAGACAGAGTGGCTGTGCGCACGTCTTCACATAACTGCAGGTGGAGCTCCAGCCGGCAGCCAGTGTGGAGCAGTTTACACGGGGGTGGGGCTGGCTTTTCAGGTTAAGGAAGTCGTGACATGCCCCTCCAGCGGGCCCATAAATCAGTCGGCTCAGCCTCACTAAGGATGGCTCTTGGGAGAGGGAAAGACATGGAGCGCGCACACACACACACACACACATATATATATATACACACACACACACACACACACACACACAGGCACAAGCACAGGCCACTTCAGCTCACACACAGACATTGTCATGTACACATGCACTACAGTGTAGGTGCCAACAAACACTCACAGAGACAGCGGGAGCGCAAACTCTGTTATGTAAACGGCTGTGGCACTTTTCGCCTCAGGTCTTACATGCCACACCTCCCACTATGTGGTCAAGTGTATGTGTTTGTGTGTTCAAGGTGTGAATGTTGTGTAATCAAGGAATGATAATTGTATATTCAAAATAGTTACATCCGTTTTTTACAGAATTTAACTTCACACCTCTTTAAACACACGTGACCTTTTGTAGTTTGATAATCAAGCAATGTGGTGATAATTTTGTTCTAACTCAGTGTGGGTGGCACCGCAGACTTGTTGCATCTGTGCAGCCATCTCCTCTTTGTCTGTGGACTTGCATACTGTAGTTGTGGGAATGAAAAACAACAGAGGAAGTGCTACTTGGAGCACAAAGCAGGTGTACTTCAACAACGCAGTGTGCCTTGAAACTCATTTCCTCTCCTGTGGACAATACAGTCATAGAGGATAAGTAGCCTTGAAAGACTGAAAGGAGTTTCTTACATTTTTCACACTTCACTGAATGGAATCACATCAGGAGGAAAAATAGGACACGCAGGCATCTGATTGGCTGTTTATGGCCAGTGGCTTTTCTTTTGTTTGTTTATCTCTACAGAAAAAGGAACGGCCTTCCTGTAGCTTGTAGACCGCATTGCTTGCTGTGAATACAAGGTAAAGCAGTTAATAAATCATGTTGTTGAAGTCATGAGGCTGCAATTGCTCATAAAATGCAAAATGCGAGGGGGAGTGTGAAAAGCCTTTTCTAATCAGCATATGAGTGCAGACTGACCTCATACTTGCCATTTACAGAAAGCACCTGCACCAACTGCTGCATCATTGTACAAATTGAGCTAATTGACCTTTAGGCTGGAAGAACAATGTCTGCATTCAAAATATTTCTAGCAACTTACAGCAGCAATACCATGTAAATACAGAGGTTTTAAACCATAATACATTACAACAATTTTCCAAAATCAATTTTATCTTTTTAGAAGCAAAATTCCCACAAATTTCTTTCAAGAATTGCCATATGTACTTCATGATAATTGAGAGTGTTATGGAGACTTATCAATCGCAGAATCATATATGAAAAAGCTTAGTCACACTATTGCTTTACAGAGAACCTACTGCCTGATCACTGCTAGGTGCTGTGCAAAACCCCAAGTGATGACTCAACATGAAAGATACTAATCTAAGGTGTCCACTTCCAAGATTTGATGTGCAGATGTGTCAGAAAACATGGAATATGAACTACAAACAGGGATTTCCCAAGTTGACATGCAAGATTGATATCAAGGCCTCTTATGGAGGAAATTATAAATACCCGTAGTAGTAGGAGTATTAAATTACTTAGCTTGATCTGGAAATCTAAAAGCAGTGGATGTGTGCGTGTGTGTGTGTGTGTGTTAAGTGATATTCAAGATGACAGGCACTCAAAGTAAATCTTGTGTAGAAACTTGAAATGCAGGGGTCGTCTATAAAGACAAAAATGTCATGCCAGCTGATTTATTTTCAGTCTACGTCTTAGAATTAATTGGAAACACTTTTTATGAGAAACTATCAGTTTCACACTTTTGAAATTTACAAGTTGAAAGCCCATTTTATGAGGAGGTAGACTAACCATTTTATAGATGATATGAATTTGGCTGGTGCTAAATTAAAAACTCTGCTCTGACAACCATAAATAGAAAAGTTTCTGTTGTTTTGGCATGTTTGGGGCTTTCTGTCCATCTGCACCCATCTGTGAAAGCAAGTGCCGAGAGGAGAAGACGAGGGAAGCTGTTAGAGCTTCGGCTATCTACAGCCAACAGTCTGAGAGCTGAAGGAAACTCACGTGTTGCTAACAGTGCAGGTTGTCACTGAGTACAAAAAAAAAAAACTGTCTTGCCTTGGGAGTGGGAGAAAAAAGAGATGAGAGAGAGCAGTGGTGACAGAATGAGACAGAGAGATGCAAGCCTCTTGCTTCACATGAGCGGTTTGGTCCTTTCTTTGCTTTAGTGCGGCAGCCCATGCAATGGTTCCTCGCTCTCCTTTTTAGCCAGCTAAATTCTGAGTGTGCAGTTCTGCCTGACCAATATGCTGTCAGAATGAGAGATGCAGCAATTACTCTATATCCACGGTCAGTATACTGATGTACTGGTGCATGCACCCGGCCTTGCACAGCGAGGGAATGTGAAAGAGCAGCAAGATCATTACATCATTGAGGTACCCATGGGCAAGGCACTTAACCCCCAAACTGCACCAGTGGGGCTGAACTGGTCAGCGCTGAAGTGTGAATGCGTGTGAATGTGTAAATCTGGAGGAAGGTGTTGCTGAAAAAGAGCAATTATGCTCCATGTTTCTGGCCTGGATACATAAATGTTGAAAGAAACTCAGCAGCACTGTGTAGGCTACCAATAATGAACCAGTGAGACATGGCATTTGGGTTTTTGGTGCAGGTACACATGATTATACTTTCAGATTTTCCACAGTCCTTATTATGGGTGCTTTAAGCATTATTAATATTACAATCTAACCCACAGTTATCAATATGGTCTGTCTGAGTTACATCTCTCAGCCATTAGATGGAATTATTTGGTGGACATCTCACATAATAAGCTCTCTCTGCAGATGAATATCAAATACTGTTGAATTCCCTCTTCTCAAACAATGTCATTCCTACCTATGAGCCTGCATGTTTGAATTAAATACATTATTTAGTACTTGTGAAACTGCCCATCCATGGAATAAATCCATGTATCACTATGAATATTAACAGGATGACAGCAGAGCCAAAGAAATCCACTAACAGCTCTATTTAAACCAACGCCCTGCTAGATCAGTCAAAACAGCAGACAAAAAAAACAAAACATAGCAATCAATAGATATGATGGATGAAAGCAGGGAGCCTGAAAACAACACCACTTCAGGTTTCAAAGACAGGAGCAACTAGAAACAACAACTGAAGACTTCATCAGATCAAACAGGCAATTGCTGCCAGGATAGTTTAGTTTGTCGATGCAGCCAAATGCAGAACTGTGTCGAGTCAAATTTTTAAAAAGCACAGAGAAATCTGGACTCAGTTCAAGATTCAAGCGATACCCGTAAAAAAACTCGCTCAGATTCTTTCTTCTTTACAGCTTCCTCCACCTGAGAGAGGCGATAAATCTTGAGTTTTTGTACTCAGCTGAGGCAATGACTGGGCCAGAGGTCAAACCAGTAAGACAGATGAAAACAAGTGATTGTCTGGAGGCCCATTAAAAGAAAATTGCTGAGGAGGGACAGAGACATTCATGTCCTGCCTTTGTGGGAGCAATGGAGGTGAGTGTGTGTGTGTGTATGTGTGTTTATAAGAGTACAGTATGTGCAGGAGGGTGAGAGGTTCCTGTATATTGTACATGATACGGCTGTGTCAGTAAATCAAGGTGTAAGTACTGATATCTTGTAGTCATCCCAGTTCCAGAAACATCCATTTGAGGTCTGACAGTCATGCAAACATTTTTTGTGACATTCCTTTCTTCGGTACTCAGGTCTGTCTCAGAGAGGAAAACAGCTGCCACACGTTTTGTTTTCTCCACATTTTTCATCATTTCTCCTCTCTCTCTGCACATTCTTTGTTCTTTGTCATTGCTGCGCTCACTTAGCCACAGAATGAATGTGCGCTGTGACAAAGCAGTGTGGAGAATGTGGTTCGGCTGAATTCTTGTGTTAGCACACAGCTATTGTTGTCCCTTCCTGGAAGTCCTAGCAAGTGGCTGTCTCCATATGAACACAGTTCAGCGGGGAAAACAAAACATTTGAAAAACACCTCTGTCTTCACTGGTCCTCTGAGGTCTCTTTTTAAATCACTTATGGGCTTATATGATTTCTGGGGGCAAAGTCATTGCTTCTGAAAATGTTTTGACATCTCAGGCCATTTTCACTCTGCTGCACCTGTCATGTAAAGCGTCATTAGGCCATCTCAGCCTCTTTATTAATTCCCAGCTTGGAAACATATGGCCAGATCACACTGCATACTAATTAATGCTCCACTAGGACATACAATATGGAATCATAGCAAAGACACAAATCAATTACGTGTCACTTGACCTGCCATTACTGAACGTGTGAAGGTGGACGGAGGTAGCTGTATGACAAAACAGAGATATCAAAAAAACTGAAATCCAATCTACCTGCCATCATCTTCTGGGCCTCATATGGCTCCATGTAGCCATCATTCTCAGTCGTCATTTTTTCCGTGCTGGTCTGAGTGCCACCAGCCTGCTCAGCATCGAACGGGTCCGCGTAGTCTTCAAGGATAATGAGCTGCAGAAGAAAAGAAAAACAAGGGAAGGTGAGATGGAGGGAGGGAGGGCGGAAAAGTGAAAATAGCAAGAGGGGAATTTATTTTGCTGCTCTGTTGAACAATACAACGCTGGTAGGTGTTGGGAGACTTGCATGACAGATACTGCAGCGGCCCGGGACAGGACCAAGTGATATCCACCAGGGCAGGCCAGGAGATACAGGGAGAAACACATAAATAACACCCCTCCTCTGAATGCCTTAGCACACCACCACAATGCCCCAGCTTTTAGCCTTACAGCACGCTCTTTGCTACTGCTGGTCTGCCTAATTATATGATAGCCCAGTGACAGGCCCACATTTCAAAAGTAGAGGAAAGAAGACCACAACTGCTCAACTTTCTTAAGAGAAACAATTTGGCAGATTTATGCCGAGCTGGCAGTGAGCCACGACTAATTGCAGTCTTGCTCTTTTGCTGAGCATTTTGTGCAGTAGATGGCAATTAGGTGGACGTACCGAGACCCAGAAATACAGTGCAAACCTTTAGGGAGCAGAGCAACAGTCCGCATCTATAGTGCCTTGGGGGGATATTTGTTTCCTTGCAATGTTTGCTTCATCTACCAGGATACTGCTTCAAAAGTAAAGTTCTACCCTTTGAAAGTAAATAGACTCCCATCTGAGTCATCCGTCCTCTTGGACATTGGATCTAATGAGGGGGTATGACTGCAGGAGTTTGGGCCCGCTGCTAGAAAATTGACTTTTTCTCTTCCAAGGCTCCTGACAGTCTAGTCCTGCCAATCAGTGGGCAGAGGAGAAGGGCACCGCATGTTCTGTAACTTGGAAACGTTTTAGCCAAGGGTTTCAAACAAATAAGGAAACGCTTATGCATACACCTAAGCAAGCATGTAAACACGTACATGACTGGCACTACACCCTATGAGTCATGTGTAAGAGGAAGGGATATGGTCTCATTATAAACAAGCTCATCACTCATCCGGCGGACGGGGCCGGGCGGGGCAGACACGAGGTGGACCGAGTCTCGTGCTGTGCCTCCACCTAGCCAGCTTCCCTGAGAACAACCACTGTCCATCTTTGCCACAGAGGGAGCACACTTCCCAGAAGCAAACTCTAAATGCAGGCCACCCGTGAGAGTGCCACAGACACACACATTCACGCACGCACACACACACACACACCTGCCAAGCCTCAGGGAAGCAAGTGAAATGTACAGATATACCCTTCCAACTCTGGGATTTCTCTTCGGTTGGGAAAGTACCGACATTTTTACAGTTCTGATCAAGGTCAAATGTCATTTAACTTTTTTTTTAATTTAAAGACTTTTTGAAAAGTTTCCAAGTGTTAAATGCCAGAAAATTCACTCGGAATAATTTGTAAGCTGCTTATTGACACAGAAACGCTGGCAGGTATATTCCTGCACAGATCATCTCAACTATACATGGATTAGGCAATAAAGGCAAAGGAAGTAAGTACCACGGATGTGTTTCATAGCAGCTACTGTGTGTTAAATCCACCTTCTTCAGTATTCCCTCTCCATGTGTTTTTGGTAAAATAACTAGGACTTTTTCTGCCACAGCATAATTATGGGTTCCTTGAATGTTTTGCTTCTGTGAATTTAAGCAGGGGGGAAAAATCCAATACAAACATTGTCCTGGTTTGTTTTTGTGCCAGAAATATACAAAATTCCCTCACAACCTTAATTAAAATTCAGCCATTCAGATAAGAAACATCTTTGCGGCCCCAGAGACCCCAAAAACTCTCTGCATATTATGCCTTACAGCCACAGTGTCATTACCATCTCGCACCTTGTTGCATGGAAACTCAGCCATCAGTAATCATAGCATGTGCCCAACCCACCTCAGATACAGTCACTGCAAACACAGCCCAAACCTAAGAATAAGTAACCCTCACTAAAAAAACATATGAATCACCTAAATGGGAGGGACGAAGGCCAGTGCCCATTTGACTGCGGTCCACATACTGTAGCAGAGTGGCTCGAGGTTTGAGACCATAGCCCACAAATGTGATAAAACACTACAAACGATGCATCTTACATTCTGTCAGCAGCTTTAGATGACAGAGGTAGTTTAGATATTTGCCCGCAGTGAGATTTTAGCAGAGCTCCTACCTTAAACTTCAACCGAGCACATTACCACTTTATGCGCCTTCATGAGCCAAAGGATGTTTGGGCATGTTTCAGGAAATAAAGGCAATCAGTTATTGAGTTATGTGTGGAGCCACTCCAAACACATGACATCATCTTTTGCCTTTCCTGTTGACATAATGTAGGACAAATAAAGGGTGGGGTATGTGATGAAAATTTCTGATAGCATCGGACAGAGTGATGTGTTGGGATTAAATGCAGCCATGGATAAAAACCAAAGCTTAGACTCGAGACTCAAACACGACACACTTTGTTTGGCCTTTAGTTTGAGCCTGATATACAAGTGCTTAATATTTATGGCTTGGAAACTGCGGTTTGGTATTGTCTACAGTCCCTGACACACCAAGCCGAACGTTGGCTGTTGGTCAGTGTTGGGCCATCAGAGAGCATCTGTCGCCCTAGTTTTTGCAGTGTGTCCTGCACCGTTGGTTCTAGTCGGCCCTTGTTACCCGTTTTTTTGGCCAATCCAGCATGTTGAATCGGCTTTAGAGCTGGTGCAGCCCGTTGAAGCCCGTCAGAGCCCATTGGTGAGTGAAATCCCTCAGTTCTTCCAGTGGACTGGCAGATGAGCTCAATGCATGAGTGGAAAGATGGAAGTGAGGAAAGCAAACAAACAACTAAAATCAAGAGGGTTACATATAGAGTTATATGAGGTAAGATTATTTTTCTAGCCATTAAGCTTTTTAGCGGAAATGGCTCGTAATTGTTTGTGTTATTGTTCATTAGGGAATGTTCTTTCAACATCCTGTTTTGTTGTTAATGTGCTAACTGGCTAACTAGTGTCCTGAATCTGTCCTGTCAGTCTTCCAGTTTCCCTTTTTGAATTACAAATACACAACACACTGCTGCATGCTGGTATAGAAAGTTATTTCCTCTCATGCAGGAGTAGAACGTACGTGCAAGTGGGCTGATGGCTGTAGTCTTTGTGGTGTGTTCAGGTGCAACTTTTTTGCCGAGACACAGGCAGTGTGAGGCGACACAACAATCGGCCTTTGTCACCTCTAGTTCTTTGATGTTGGTATGCTGTGTCTGAGCCTTAAAGTAGCGTGGTGCTAGAGGGCAGATAAGGTAAAACACTTTATTTGAACTCTAATGTACGTGCTTTTTTTCCCATCCCAAACAATCAAAATCCGGCTAAATCAAAATCTAATAGGTCTGCCGGTATTCTGGAAGCAAAACAGGAATCAGCAATCAGTCACAAGTGGCTCTTGGTCCTTCTGCTCTTTTACAATTACTTGCAGAGGCTGAGCCAGTATTTGGAATGAGCTTCTTTTTTTGTCATTTTAACTTCAAAATATTCTGTTTTGAAACACGTCAAGACAATATGCAATTAGATGCCATTATAAAGTAACGACAATCATGATTTCCTACTTCAAATTCTGTTGGTGTGATTAAAAGAAAACATCTACAGCTGCTAACAATGTGAACATCTTAATTATGGCCCCCGTGTCCACATACACCTAAAAAAGGTTGCAAAGGCTTGTCATCCAACAGCTAACACTACATAAAAAAAGGATTTACATTTTACAGGCATGTGTATATTTAGCTCCAAGCTGGCCAGTAAAAGCTCATTTCAGCACCTGGCTCATGTTCTTATTCCAGTCAGCAGAGATGGTCAAGTTGTTTTTTCCCATAAAATGCAAGTTCAAGCAGATGACAAGCCAGTTGCCAGCCTGACTACCGTTGAATGAAAATGAAACAAAAAGAAGTTGGTCATGTTGGTCTTGCTATTTCACTTTCATTTAAGGTTACTGAGCATATTTATAGAGCATTACTGCAATCATGTCGATGACTAACAAGGGTTGTTTGTTTGAGAGGTATCTTTTTATGAAGGGGAAATTTCTCAGCCGCATGGTCACAATCAGCTCCACCCTGTGTGTCACATTTATACCTTTACAAACCAGCTGCAGTATTCTGTTGTCATCCATTAGCATGCAGCAATGTTGTCAATTTTAGCCGACACAGACCCTTACTGGGCATCTGGGGATTTGAGCCATCATCTATTTAGATTAACAGACTGCCTCTGTAAGGCTCCATCACCCAGCCCCTGCAGCCTAGTTCATGTTTGGGTAGAGGAGGTGGTTAATATTTCCAAATTGTTCCAATGTGTCCTTCCTGTCCCACTGCACTAATGACTACTCGACAGCAGAAGGAGCATGGGGTTGTGAGGAGAGGGGTGCTAGAGAGCGGCAGCGTCGCCTGGGGACACACCATCTGCCTTGTGGCATGCCAGGGTGTGTCAGGACTGCAGCCAAGCCGCACTTGTCATGAAAGCAAAATTCCCCCTCAGCACAAGACTGCAGTGCCTCAATATATCAGGTCTTTGCTAAGCCGCACTGTAAGCCTATATGAATCTCACAAAGCCACCTCACAGGCTTAGGCCATGTCCCCGTGGTGGCTGGGTCCTTTACTGGTCTGCAGCATAGAGAGGGAACTCACTCAATTACTTTCACTCCACAGCTCAGATCCCAGGTTGGCCGTGTCTTACACCTGCCAGAGCTCTGGCAGCTCGCAAAGGAGAGCCACAGACTTCTTGAAATGCACTGCGGCTCTTGTGCGCTGAAACTGACTTCAAATCAGTGGGAACGGAGGGGGAACATTAGCAAAGGAGGGAGACTATAACAGGCACCTGCCACTTTGGCTCGATGCTAGATCTTGACGATGGTGGGGCTTGTAGGATTACAATTCGATTGGGCCCCAGACTTCCATTAGAAGTGAGAAAATATGGGCTACAATTCTCCTCCTGCACTCTTAATGGAGAGAGAATGCGCTCAGGCTGGCTGACTGGATGATCAGGAGCCAAAGAATAAAAAATTAAGAAGCATTAAATTTGAGCACAGCT